TTTTTTTTTTTGTGCAAGATGTTTCTGTTGAGATGGAGCTTATGACAAAGGAAGTGGGAGTTGTTTATCACCCTGAAAAGAGTTGTCTCAACATTGGACCTTGACATTGCAGCTTTAAGCTGATTTCTATGTTAAGATAGAAATGTAGAATAGATGAGTCAAAATTCCCATGAGTAAGAAGAAAGAGAAAAGCAATAATGAAAACATTCTTGCTCCAGAGTCCCAAAAGACTGTGCAACAGGAACTGGGTGAGACTTCATCTCAGCATTATGATAGATTCATCTAACCTCAGAACCTCTTCTTATCTTAGTAAGATATTTTCACGTACATTTTCCAGACAGATTGTAACATGAGACAAATGATTTTTTTTTCTGTGTTCTGAACCAATAATTGATAGCTGATAATGCCAATTCTAGTGTTGGAGGTCCAAAAGATGAAGGGGGTAAGACTCTTACAGTAAATGTCATAAGTGAAATAGAATGCAGAAGAAAGACTACAGTACACAATATGTATCTCCAATATTGTATGAATAATGCATTGATGTTTTCATAGTTGATACGAAAATTATTATAGGAACAATATTTTTCCACATTCCTATATTATGAGTAGAAACAATGAAATCATTTTGTGATTTTATTCATGTGCAATAAAACAAATCTTGTTATATTTGCATGTAAGATTTCTGAGACTGATGTTTATTATCAAAAGAATACTAATATTTCAGCATGGTTTAACACTTCAATTGAAAATGCTCATGATATCCTTTTTTATTGATGCTATTTATTTTTGCATCATATTGATTTCCAGAAAAGTACCTCCCTCACATTTGCCTGCCTGGGGAGCCTTCCTTTATAACAAATATTAAAAGTGGGGAAAAAAGAGAATAATTTGGCAAAATCAACCAACTCAGCAGTGTCATATGTATATTCAATAAACCCAGGATTCTCACCTCTTCAATGATATTGTCTATCCCTTGTTTGCTTAAGAATTCTCTAAGCAGCTAAGAATTTATCACCAAACAAGAGATAGAGAACATTGCAGAAGGTAAAATGGATAGTTATAATTTGTTGTTGTTCAGTCATTTCAGTTGTCTGATACTTCATGACCCTATTTGAGGTTTTCTTGGCACAGATACTGGAGTGGTTTGCTATGTCCTTCTTCAGCTCATTTTACAAATTTCAGGCAAGTAGGATTAAATGACTTGCCAAGGGTCACACAGCTAGTAACTGTCTGAAGCTGGATTTGAACTCAGGAAGATGATTCTTCCTGCCTTCAGGCTCAGCACTCTATTCACGCACTGTGCCATCTAGCTTCTCCTAATTTTCATTACATCAAATTAAAAAGATTTTGCACAAACAAAATCAAGCAGCCAAAATTAGAAGGAAAACAAGAAAATGAGAGAAAACTTTTGTAGCAAATTTCTTTGATAATGGCCTCATTTCTCAAATACATAGAGAACCGAGTCAAATTTATAAGAATGTTATTCCCCAATTGATAAATAGTCAAAGGATATGAACAGGCAGTTTTCTGAAGAAGAAACCAAAGCTAACTATAGTCATATAAAAAAATGCTCTAAACCACATCACACCCATCAATTGGCTAATATAATAGAAAAGGAAAATGACAAATATTGGAGGGGATATGGGAAAACAGGGACACTAATGAACTGTTGGTGGAGTTGTGAACTAATCCAACCATTCTGGAGAGCAGTTTGGAATTATGCCCAAAAGGCTATAAAACTGTGCTTATCAGCTGCCCACTACTAGATCTGTGCCCTAAAGAGATCAAAGAAAAAGGAAAAGGACATATATGTACAAAAAATACTTATACCAGCTCTTTTTGTGGTGGCAAAGAACTAGAAATGGAGAGGAATTCCATCAATTATGTAATGACTGAACAAGTTGTGGAATATGATTGTGATGGAATACTACTGTGCTATAAGAAATGATGAGCAAGATGGTTTCAGAAAAGCCTGGGAATATTTACATGAATTGATAGAAAGTAAAGTTAGCAGAACCAGGAGACAATTATACACAATAACAGCAGTATGCGCATTGATCCACTGTGAATGACTTAGCTATTCTCAGCAATACAATGATCCAAGAAAATTTTGAATTACTTATGATAAAAAACCCTATCCACCTCCAGAGAAAGATCTGATGGAGTCTGCAAATTGAAGTGTACTTTTTAAACTTTATTATTCTTGGGGTTTTTGTGGGGAAGGGTTGGTCTGCATTTTCTTTTGCAACATGGCTAATATGGAAATTATGTTTTATGACTGCGTGTATATAATTTATATAAAATTGCTTGCCTTCTCAAGGAGGAATTTGGGGTGGGAGAGAGGAAGAGAACATGGAACTCAAAATTAAAAAAAAAGAATGTTAAAAATTTTTGTTTACATGTAATTGAGAAAAAATAAAAATTAAATAAAAAAAAAAAGAATTATCCCAGTAGCAACAGTGGTAAAATGTACCTCTGTCTATTTCTCTCCACTTAAAAAAAATTGATGTGACCTTTTAAAATATAAGTTGAATGTTCTTTTGGAACTTATTTTGGTATATGGTAAAAGATAATGATTTAACACCCCTCCCACCCCTTTCCAAATTACCTTCTAGTTTTCCTAGTAGACTGGCCCCCTCCAACTCACCCAGGCTAGAAGTATGGCCTCAATCTCACTGTATTCTACACAGTAGCTTTGATCTGCTCTGTTTTTGAACTAGGCCAGTACTCTGCTCCTCAGGTTGCTTTGTGGACTCCTTCTCTGGGTGTTCCCTATATTACTGCAAAACAGTGTGGACATCTGATCAAAGTAACCCACTGATGCTCAGATTTCCAGAACTCAAGAGATATATTGACTTTAGCCTCCTTAGTACCTGGGATTACAGGTGTGTGCAACCATACTTGGACCCACATTATTCTTAAGAGAGTCTTAGAGATATAGATTTATTTTTAGAAGACACCTTCGTTTAGGCCAGTGATGTCAAACTCAAATAGAAATGGGGGCCATTAATCCATATATAAAGATACCTGTCAGGGCATATTGCCTTAGTTTTACAATGTATTGTTATCTATATTTTACTGTATTTTTATTTATTTTGTTAACTATTTTCCCATTACATTTAAATCTGGGTTAGGGCGTATTGATACGTTGCATGAAGCAGTATGTTTGACACCTCTGATCTAGTCTAGCCCTCTCATTTTATGAGGTCCAAAGAGTCTATGATCACATGGATAGTAAGTAGCAGACACCCAGAAAACTAAATCAAGTCTCATTTTTCACATGCTTCTCTTTTCCTGGTGCGCAGGGAAGGAGATGCGTGTGCTATATACCATATATTTCTGAAGGACAAAAACCTATTTAACCAGCTTTGTAGCTCCCACCATAAAAATATCTAAATAAAAGGCTACCATAAAGACCTGTTTGGAAATACAACTTCCTTATTTTACAGGTGAGTACACCAGAGCCCAGAGAAGAGACTCTTGCTAATAGACTACTCAATCCCTTAACTACAGATGCAAAAAAAAAAAAAAAAAAATAGCTGACTGCCCATAATTCATTTTGTTTAAGTGAATCAAGAAGATCTTAAAAATTTGGTAGTCATAGTGTTTTAGGGTCAGAAAAACAGTTTTCTTTCATTTTACAAAAAAGGAAACTAAGGCAAATGAGGGTAGCTTCCAAAGGTCTTACAGCTAGTGAGTAGCAGGGATAGGACTAAAACTTAGTCTCCTGGCTCTGGCTACAGTTTTCTTCCTACTAGAATGCCTCCGATCATTGGAAATCACCACCATCTTTCTGGAGCTTTAGCTCAGAGAAAAGGAAAAGTTTTCCATTGCCTTGAGGAAGATGTTTTATTATGAACATCTAGTGTAGTAGATCATCAGTACTGAAAGGACTTTCTGTAAAATAATTTCTGTAGATTTGAAATTTACAATGAGGACCCAAGAATAATTTTGATGCTCCTACATCAGGGTATCTGTATACTGGACAGAATACTGAGCCTGGTATAGTCAGGAAGACTTGAATTCAAATCAATCATCAGAAACTATCTGCTTAGCTCTTCTCTAGTA